AATTAAAAAAAACATGAACAAAGTTGTTCCTGTTACTATGTTTTGAAATGTAGGAGCATATGAAAGCAACCATTTTGGAGTTCCGGTTTGTCAGGCTTCAGCAGTGGCAGGAATTCGCATTTGTGCACAATCCCTGCCGCGCTCACTGCTGGAGTGCCTCCGATCCAGCTAGATTTGGAGGCTATAGTTATCCTGTAGGGATAACTGAAGACAGGGGAGATCCGGACAGGGGTCTGGGGCATCGCAACCCCCTCCCTCAACCGGCTAAACTCCCTTTTCCAAAGGCGGGGGAGCGGCCGTCAGCAATGGCTGCCACAAAGAACCTCTCAGCCGGACAAGTTTTGTGCAGGAGGAAGTGGAGAAAGTGAAAGTCTTTGGTTGAACCAGGACAATAAGTAACATCTGAACACCCTGGAAATCTAGCTCTCTAAAGGATACATTGTTTCCCAAGAAGATCGTAAAATGCTGTGGATGAAAGTGAAAAGGGAAAGTTTTTTTTCTTCACTCTCCTTCCCTACGGAGATAGCAATGGAAATCGGAAACACCCACTTTGGCAACAGAAGGTTTTTTTTGAAAATTAATTTTGAAAATTAAAGCCGAGGGGACATTAAAGATTTCTGAACATTGATATTTAAAAATCAATTTTTTTTGGCTATAAGTGGGACGGGAGAGGTAAATGATTTATATTAAAATTCTGCTGGAGGAGACTGCTTGGAGTTTATAAGATCAGAGATTAAACTGCAATAAGACTTCTAAAAAATCATTTTGGAACTGTGTATCTGAACTCTACCCCAGGAAGAGAAAGTGTTAAAAGAAGAAAGTGCTAAATGAAACAGTTCGTGTTGATTTGGATTGCTTGATGACTTTGGGACTTGCAAACTATTTTTTGAAAGTCTAAAAACACTTGGATTGTTTAAAAAAAGTAAATAAAAATAAATATATATATCTTACAATGGCATTATCTGTGGAAGAATTGAAAATGGAATTTAAAAAGCTAAAAGAAGAGGAACAAGAAGGCAAGGGCTCTTCTGGATCTGTTTTTCACTTCTTAGAAATGGCAATTTCTACCTATCAGGAAATACAGCAATCAGAAAGCTGGGATGAAGAAGAAGAAGAAGCCATCTTTAATGGACAAACTATTTTAGTTGATGAAGAAAAGGGAAAGAGGGGGAAGAAAATGGAGAATTCAAGATCTAAAAAAACAACCAAGAAAGGGAAAAATAAGGTGAAAAATCGATACAATGTCAGAAAGCAGCAGAAAAGAGGAATACAACAGAGAGGGGAGACTAAAAGGGTGGAGATTGAGAGATGGGGGCGGGTAAAAAGGCTAGATTCGACAAGAAAGGAAGGGGAAAAGGTCAGAGAAGTTATGAAAGCTTAAAACAAGATGTTAAAAAACAGGGGGGGGTTTAGAGACAAAGGGTATAATACAATTTAAAAAGAGATTCTGCAAAAGTACACAAGATTGTATCGTAGTATTCGTATTTGAAATAGAGTTAGAAAACTGGTATATTATATGTGTTAATAGAATATTGTAGGGAATGTGTAAAATATCTAAGATTTAATAATGGAGTTTAATTAATTAATTTGTTATGGAACATTGTTTTTACTATATTATAAGTTTATTATGTTTTTTTTATTTTAAAATGTTATTTAGAATGTACTAAGCAGAATCAGAATGGAAACTATGTATTATTTTAAGTGTTAAAATTGGGGGAAAGATAGATAGGCGTCATACTTCAACCACTGATTACAGGAAAAATTTTGTATTAAAGAGAAAAGATAAATAGACAATTGAAAAAGAATGGACAAAAGATACAAGTATAATGATTTAAATTGAGATGAAGTAAATAAAATAGAATTAAGAGAGTGAAAATAGGGGAGAAGACATATAGAAAATATAGAATGTTAAATAAGATTGAAATAATATATAAGGTGAGCATGAATTTGATTTATGTCTGTACAAAAAGATGTAACCTGGGGTTAAGCCGCTTTCTAAGAAGAAGTTTTATGTTTTCATGTTACGTGTTTTGTTTATTTATGTTTGTTTATTGAGAATTAAGATTGTTGGATGAGAACATATGAAATCATAAATAAGCTGTGCGCAGTTCTCAGCTCCTCCAGCTCTCGCTGTCTCTCCCAACATCGAAGCCTCGGAGATGCAGGCAAAGCCGCTGCATCGGTAGTGCCCGAATTGCCTTTGCATGCTCGGTTAATTTCAGAATCGCCCTACCCAGAGAAGGAGGTGCTGGAGGAGGAGGAGGCGGTAGTGGAGAAGTAAGCAACTCAGGGCACTACTGCTGCAACAGCTTTGCCTGCATCTCCAAGGCTTTGATGGAGGAGCCAAGAGCTGCGCACAGCTCCATCTCCCTTTCCTTGCCTTTCTGCATGTGGGTGCAGGGGGGGGAGGAAAGAGAGAGAGGCAGGAGCAATTCAAAAATAGAGAACTAATGGAGACAACTAACAGTGGGCGCTGGAGGGGGGGACTGTTGTTGCCGCCGCCCGCTGTATGTGCGGGAGCTGGTTGGTGCCTGCATCTCAGGAACCTGACTCGGGGGTTCCTCGAAGAGCCGGGCGGCACAAGAACTGCAAGTGGGAGCTTTTGTTGATTTCAAATAACTCCTAGAATGTGGTAGATTGGCGTTTTGTAGGTCTCGATGAAAGAGTGAGCTTTGTTTCATCTCCTTTCCTCCCCTGGTAATGTGAGAGATGCTGTCTCTCTCTGTCTCTCTCTCCCTCCACCGCCCCAAATAATCACTGGCTGTGGCTGGGTTTGGCAGAGAAGTGCTAAAGCGAGCAAAGTGCACCCAGGGACACCTTTCTTTGCCTGCCTCCAGGTGAGGCTGGAAGAGGCACACACACACCCCAGCTTTTCCTCGGCTGCAGATCTGATCTCTCCCAATCCTCCACCTGGGATCTGAAAGGAGCTCCCACTTTCTCCTCCTCCTTTCCCCCCAATTAATCACCGAGGACAGCAATCCTTCTGTAGGCAAATGCCTGCTGAGAAGCCCCTGGAGTGGTGCCGAGGGGCGCTGCCCCCAAAGAGAGCAAAGCCCCCTTTCTGCCTCTGCTTCTCCCAGCAGCAGTTGCCCCGAGGCCCCTCAGCTCCGCTCTTCTGTCTCTTTGGAAGGTGCAGGTGGGGGGAGGCTTCCAGCCCGGAATGTTTTATTTTGTTATCATTAAGCATTTACATTTTTGTTATAATTAAATAAGTGTGTGTATGTGGGATGGTTTTTTTGTGTGTGTGTCTGTGTGTGTGTGTGTATACACACTATACAGAAGCCTGATGACGGCAGATGAGATTCTGTCGAAACATTGCTACAACTTTAAAAGCACAACTATAATGACATGGGAAAATACCCAAACAAAGCTGAATGCCATACATATATATACATATACATATATATAAAATTAATATTTAACAAAAGTTTATATTAAATATATTAGCTTTTAAAAAAAATCCGTATTAGTGGTCCTTGGGATTTAAAAGTATGAGTTTGGTGGTCCTGAGGTCCAAAAGGTTGGCGACCCCTGTGTTAAAGGGCAGGTTGAACAGTCAAGAGACAAAAAGGAGAAAAATAACTCAAAATATCTCTGTCTTGATTTTGTTTAGTATATGATGTGATAGAGCAGGGGTCACCAGCCTTTTGGACCTCAGGGACCACCAAACTCATTATTTTAAATCCCAGGGACCACTAATGTGAATTTTGACTGACGTGGCTTGCTGACATTGGTGGGAGAGAGAAGGAGAGAGAAAGAAAGATCTGATTTTATTGTATTGTGAACAGTTGCTGGGGTGCATCCACAGTTTCGTTGTACTTGTACAATGACAATAAAGTTCATCTAATTCTAATTCTAATAAAGGATCCCTTTAAGCAAAATAAGCATGTAGTTAGGACACCAAAGGAAGGAGGACACCACACAGTTGTTCTGCCTATCTATAACACTACACTAACTTCACTCAATTGTTTTTGTAAATAGTCCTTGGCTAGAATGTCCCACTTTAAAATAAATTATTGAGTTATTTATTCAATTTCTATAGTTGCCCAACATAACCAAGTGATTCTAGACAGCTTAGATTTCTACAATTATAAAATAATTAAAACAATTTTAAAAACAATAAAAATAATATTGTTTACATTGTTTAAAAAAAGTTTTCTTTGTCATTATGAATGACTAAAATTTAAAGAATTGGTATGAGAATTTTGCTTTCATCAAGGGGCACCAATGTTGGGCTCTGCTTAGGGCATCAGTTGGCCCTAATCCAGCCCTGCAATACCTCTGCAATACTGGTGGTAAGAAGCTCTAATTTTAATGTCCAGGTTCTCTCTCCTTTCCTCCCTATAGTATTTTTTTTTTCTTACCTCATTTTCAGTAATAGAAGTCTGCCCATCCAAGATAAGATGCCCTTGCAACATTTAAGCAAATTGATGACAGACAGGTAACAGGAAATCAGGAATGGGGCCACAAGAAATCTTGATGAGTGCCCCAAATCAGAAAAGCAACAAATTTTGGCTGCCAGTTCCCTGTGAATAGCATACACTGGCAGAGAAGTGAACTGTCCATCCCAGTAACATCTTAATAATGTAAAATAGTCAGAGCAGCCTGCTGTAGCCCTTTCTAATGCCGTTGTGAAATCAGACAGCTTGAATAATGAGAAGTCTGATCATCTGAAAATGCCGTTAACCTGGGAAAGTATGTCGTGCAATGGAGAAGTAGTTTCTCTCAACTGCTACCTCATTTCTTGTCAAAATGAACCTCCCCCTTGCATCATGTCCAACAAGGAAACAACAGACTTAGTCACTTCTGTCTCATCTACTCAGGGCTAGCAATTTCATAGCAGGCAGTTATGCAAGCACTAAGATATGACCTGTTTGTGGGGAGGAGGCACACAGAGCAGTAACTCGGGGGAAGAGGTGGGGCTAAGAATTAATAGTGTGACTTTTGACCAGTCCTGTTGTCTAATTTGTTTCCCTCCCCACCCCCACCCCCCAAATTAGATCTACCTATCGTGGAAGAGTGGACCAGGCGAAGTAAAGCACTGGAAGGATATGATTTCACACCCTCGCCAGGCAGTGGCACAGTGGCATCAGCTGAAGGCTTGAGAGGCAGAAGCCAAGGACTCGCTCTGGGGTTCGGTGCACCAAGTCAGCATTTATTGGCTACACTCTCATGACATGACTTTATGCACAGCGGCTGCACTGAGGTGTCCTCTTGAGAGAAAAGCTTGGGGGATGGATGAATAGAGGCTAAGAGAGTAAACCTGAAATATGTACTTTAAAAAAAAACTCTGGGCGTGGGAAAGTGATGTCAGTGCCCCTTATGCTGGTTCAGCGGCACATACTACTATGAGGAGCATTGTTACCACCCAACCTCCTGCTTTAGCCTGCCCTTCAGACTCTGTGCTTAGTAAGAACAAGCAAGAGGAAGAGCTGGAACAAAGAAGAGCCGCTCTCCAGGGGCTTCAGCCCAGAGAAGTGAAAGGGGCCTTTTCAGCCCTGGTTTGTTTGAGTATGCAGTGTGGCACGGACCTTGAAGTAATGGGAGGAGAGGAATCTGTGACTGCCATACAAGACTGCCCATGCGTTCTTCCAGCCAAAGGCCCATTAGAATGGTAGCCTGCCCTGCCATGAGAAAGCTAGCCCTCATCTGTGGGTGCACAGACTTGAGAGGGGGAATGGCAAGATCACTTGCTCTGTTTCAGTGAGGTGGCTTCATTTTAATTCAATACAACTTGTAAGAGTAATAATATAAATAATAAGGATGGCTAGACCTTTATCCTAGCCAGGCCTCTCAGCAAAGCAGAAAGGAGCCATGATGCTCCCATAGCCCTCTGGGTGCATTTTGTGTGTGTGTGTCTGTGTCTGAGAGAGAGAGAGAGAGAGAGACGGAGTGAGGAAGGGAGACTGGTTGTGAGTAACTGAATGTGTGTGTGTGAGTGTGTTATAACTAGGTATGAAGAGTATTTATGTGTCCCTTGTGTTTTCTTTCCCTCAGCCCCAGAGAAATTGTTTTTCTAAGGGAATGGATTGTCAGCCTCACAGGGATCAACAAGAACTTATGCCATGTGAGAAAGGAAAGCAGTTGATTTCCAGGCTTGGAGTCAAAGGGAAAAGAGAGCAGTGAGAGGCAAGAAAGCTATTTTGATGGAAGCTTTGAAGTACATGTCACAAACTAAAGTTTCTTAAAGAGAAACTAATGTTTATTCCTTTGATCTGTCAGTGGTGAAGAGACATGTTAAATACTGCTGAATTTTCTCTGGCAAGCAGATCAGACGGATCCCTCACAACTTGTTCTATCCAATCAGCCGTAAGAAGTCTACCTATTTCAATCTGCACTGGCGCCATCTTTCTTCTCCATTTTGGTGTCCCAAGGCTGGCATTTGCCCAGACCAGAGTCTTGCCACTAGAACAAGTGTGCAGCAATACGATTAACCAGTTAGTTTTCCACTAATTGTAAGATAGATTGCCTCATAATGAACACCTCATTAACAACTTATATCACTCATGAGTGTATGACTTTTTAGAGACTTGTACACCTCCACTAGGTACATCTCAGGATATTATTTTATATACTAAAATTACCCCTGCTTGCTAATCAGAGGTCCTAGGTGTCCTTTAGTTATTTAGACCTTGACTTGTTTTTTTCCCTCAGATCCTAGAACATCTTATGGTCTCCTAATTTTTTCTCCTTATTATCTGGAAAAACTTTTTTGAAAAAACCTCATTTTTCAGATACTTTGTCAGCATAAAAAGATATAAGACAACTGTGCTGAAGCAGGGATGCAGTCACTCTGAAAATAAATCACTGTAGCTAATTTCTGGTTAATCCACTCAACACAGAATGTATTAAAATCAGCAGGTGACACTATCACAAATTTAGCATAATAATGTAGTAATTAAACAAAAGTGAGCCTAGCCACAGTCCACAACTACTTTGTACATGTTTGACAGCTTCTCTACTTTCCACCCCAAATCAGGAAGGCTCAGTAAAAAAAAAAAGGATTGTCTAAAAATTGTTCAGCATAAAGCATCCAGTGCTAATGCTGTAATCCACCCTACCCCAACTCCTGATGAGTGCAGTGGGGACTGAGCAGCAGCATTATTATTTTTAACTGCATATTCACATAACTGATGTGTTCAAAACTTAAGCTGCTATGGAAAACAGATGCCTTGATGTATGTGCAAAACAGTTTTGTGATCAAAGATGGCACTTGTTGAACATTTTTAGCACCCATTAAACAAAATATACTTGGGGAAAAATTAATTTCTGCTTTAATATATCATAGGCAAGATTGCATGAATCAATTCTGAAATGACATTTCCAGATATCTGTCAGGTGGTCTGTCAAATGACAAGATGTTTCCACTCAAAGCTTTTATCGCGTCGTGTCACACAGTTTAATCCGCAAAATTACAATGGAAGGTCCAGATGTCTCTTTCCCATGTATTCCCCCCAGTTCTTCCAGGCTTTTTTTTTTTATTATGAGAAATCTTCTAAGAAGATAAAGAAATAGAATACTGTAGCTCCAAAAGTAGAGCTAGGAACCCTCTTTCAGTTTGCAATGATACAGCTGGAAGAAAACTCAAAATAATAGTGCACTCAATTACTTGAGTAATAATTCTAACTTCTAGTTTATCCCTTACTAAGGAACACTTTCTCTTAAAACTTACATGAGAGGAAATTATATGATCTTCCAAAGCAGTCTTCTCACTTAGATAATGGTCATATTCTTAGAAGCTTTCCAGTGGTCATCTAAAATCTCCTTCATTGTTTAAAACCATGATTCAAATCTTCCTCTCTAGCACAACAAATAACAAAGTTGTTTTTGCTGTTTATGAGTCAATGCTTCAAATGGTAGGCAATAGTTATAAGACTTCTTGAATGCAGGATAAATTATTGCAAGGTCCTCTTCCTTATCTTTATTGAGTTAAGGGTGCAAAAAGTGCAGTCTGGGGCAGGGGTGGGTTTCTACTGGTTCTGTCCACCTCTGTAGAACTGGTAGCTCTGAAGAGCAGCAGACATAGAACCGGTTCTATGTCTGCTGATGTTTTTGCCCACCCACCCACCTGGGCTCTTACCTGATCTTTATTTCCTGATTTTTCAACTTCAGCTGCCGAATGAGGCACAGCTGCAGTTAGAAAAGCAAGAAAAGAGGGCTGTTTCAAAGGCTGCTTCTCTGCAGGCAGCTGCTGATGACGATTTACAGGTGCTCGGCTTGCAGCCCGCAGGGAAGCTCGTAAATCCCGAACCGGTATTTAACCCTGTTGTATTCCACCCCTGGTCTGGGGTCATAAGCCCTCTGTGTAGATCTTTTTTCTGGTCCAAGAACCCAGATTGGCGAAAAACAAAAGTTGATCTTTTGCATTGTGGGGGGCGGACTTAATGAACAAAATGGACACCTTAAGTTTTGCAGATACCGAAGGCATTCACTTCAAGTCATAGTTTCTGCCCACTTTTGGCATATAACTCTATCCCTCAGTATAGCTCTTGAACCAACAGAAGTTGCATACCACTACCTCTAGACAGAGACAGGCTAGTTGGTTCAGGAAAATTAAGATGGTTCCCATTCCTTTCCTCCATCAAACTATTATTTCCAAGAATTTGAAAAACATCCCTATGAAACTTATTTGGGAAATCTGCCTAAAATGTCCATGGTTGGTCCTGACCCTGCAACTGCTAGATCTGAGACATCAATAAAAAGCAGTAAGGATTAGCATATCTTTTGCTATTATGATAGTATTAATTGATTTTTGTTCGCTATGCTGTTTCTTAAGCCATCTCTGCAGACAAGAGCAGTTACCACTGCTGCAAGAGAGGATTCTGAATGCATTTTTTTTCTGCAGAAACCCCAGGCAATAGTGACTTCAAACAGGGGAGATTCAAAGTTTAGGTTCTCTTTTGATTTCATTTCCCTCAGACATTACCGTTATCACAGAATCTTCACTTGCTTCCCCATTTAACAAATATGCTACCTGGTCCCCTATGAGGGAAGATAGGCTGGTGAGTATTTTTAATTCCCCACATTCCTCTGAAAATGATGCCAAGTCTTAAAATAATACATGTGAGTATCACTGACAGCAACATAGATAAAAACAATAAGTTTTAAAGCCTTCTGCTCTTCCATGAGCAATGGAGATGTAGATAAATCTAAGAAAATGGTAGGGAGCAAAATATTTGTTAGGTGGCACGAATGTTCCATTTTTATTTTTCTGAACAATTTTATTAGAACCAGTGGGCAGATTGCTAGCTCATATTAATCCATTTCTCCTGAGGACAGGAATGCCCAAACTGACAACCTAGGTAACACTTTTACAGACTCTGACAAATACCAAAGACTGACAGAATTAATTAAACATGATAGGCAAATGACAAGATCATTTTGCCAATGCTATCAAGTTCTAAGGAAAACAAACATTTTTCAGTGATAACAGAAGGGATGGTAGTAGAAGGAGGGTGTTCAGCTTTGTGATGCCTGCACTGAGTCCTGAAGTCAATGGATAACAGGATTCTTGCAACCTCTAGACTTGTCTAGACTTCATGTCAGTGAAGTAGACTAAACCCAAAATTGTGGTTTTGGATAAGAATGGATGTTGGTTTAATATAAAATAGCTAGGTCTTCATTAACTCATTAATTTTGGTTGAAAGGCTAGGAATTGTTTTAAAGCTGCCCACTCCTTCAACCTCAACAAGATGTTGCTGCTGGCTACTAGCTTGGCTAGTTGGACTAAATTAGGGAAATTTATGAGGATCAATAGATATTAATTTTGATGGCAGCATGGCTGCCTCTGAAGGCCACCTTCCTTGTACAATTAGTTGGTTAAAGAATAGACTGCTAGACTAGATAGACTAGTGGTCTGATCCAGAAAGGCCCTGCTTACATTCTTCTGTTGTTTCCAGGCCAATTAGTTTCCACAATCTTACTGCAATTTCATAATCCCTGCTGCTTCTCCACAATGTTGTCCATCACCTTTCTGGTATATTTCTACAGACCAAAACCTCTGTTATACACCTCTGTCCACTTTCTCTCCCAGTCCTTCATTTAAATTACCCTATGTCCTCTTAAGTCCTCTCCTCACCTTCATCTCCCTTCACACACAAAATTTATTCAACCGTTTCCCGTCCCAAAAAACTTACTCCTCCAAATACAAAGTTTATAAGCATTGCAGCATCTTGCTTCTTTGAAGTCTCTTCAGATAAGTTTTGTATAGAAAAAGATTGTCAGTAGCTTATAGTAGAACATTTAACACTTCTCTCTAGTCTTGGCCATTGATCATGAGGGCACATGAGCCAACCTTTCACATGTCCCAGTGTTTAGTTTCCTCCACCAGGCAGCTAATCAATGGATCTGTTTTGTCAAGGCATTTGAGCAGACTGACTTTTACAATGTGAATATTTGTGATGGAGTTATAGGTATGTATTTTGTGACTTAGTCAGTGTGTTACTTAATTTTCCCCATGTATGATGTACAGATGCTTGAATTATATTTCTGGCAGGCATATTTTTATACATATATCAAGACATTGCTAAGAATAATGAAAGCATGCAGGAATAAGAGAAAGACTCAAAATAACCAAATAAGGTTTTAGAAAAATCAGGAACCAGGAAAATTTGAATTGTAAAGTTTCCCACCCTATGGCTTATTTGGGGGGAGATGGCATGCTGTCAGCTGGGCCAGGAATTTAAAATCAAAGCTACCATTTTTATGTATTTATTGTTCTGTTATTGAGGGAGCAATGATAGTAAGGTGTCAACTGGTATTTATTTAATATATCTTGCTAGAGAAATAGAGTATTGAAATGGGCATGGCTTTATTTTTCTATTTTTCTGCCTCACCTGTATAGCTGTCATGCAATCAGATGCAAAAACAAAACGTTGGATACTAAAACAACAAAAAGAATGTTTATGTCAAAAAAGGAACTGGAACATAGCTAACTTCCTATTGCAGTATTTTTTTCAATCCTGTTTCCAGTACTTTTTTCCTCAGCTTCTTCCTGACTTCAAAGTAAAATTATTGTCACTGAGCTACTTTTTAAATTAATTATATGTCCATCGTAGTTGGTCAATTTTGGCCAATATAACTTTAATTCCATCTTGCTCATTTACAATTCATAAAAATATATTGGATGAGCTTCAAAACTCCATCAGTTGACCATATCAGGCTATTTAATGCAAGCAAAAAAGATGATCGAAACATAAGCCATTGACTGAAGCACTAAAAAGCTTCAGTTTGGAACAAAGCTATGTTCCAGTACACGTTTACAAAAAAAAATAATTCTAACTTCAGATATCATTTGGAAGGTGCTTTTATTGGAAGTTGCCAAGATTGCTCCAGACAGGCAGAAATTGCAAAATTTTTAATTAATTTGCTAGATTTATCCATAAAAGACCGAAGTCATCTGTTCTTCTTTGTAACTGTCTCATTACCCTTCACTCAACAGCATTTCCCTAAAACGAAAGGTTAGACACTGGACAATATGAAAAAATAGCTGGATCTAAAGAGATCCTTTGAAGGAGATTACCACAAGGTTTTTTTAAGGCTGCAGGTGTCACCAACCTTTCCAGGGAAGCACTGACCATCTCTCAGATCCACTATGGTCCCTTTTGCCCACCAACCCACAGATGAAAGATAAAATATTAAACCACACTCTGTCCATTTCTTCAGAGGTCATATACAGTCCTAGACAACATACCATACCAGATTTGCAGTTTCTATGTCACAATAAGCTCCAAGCAACATAATATTTATCATGACATTACAGCTCTTCATTTTAGATTCTCCACTACTTTCCACCATGGAAAGTATAAAGAATAATGGAAATGGGACACCCACAAGTGGGAAGGTTGGGCAGACTCCATTAGTGGAAATAGATTCACCTAATGACCATGAGAGCACATACAGATATATGCTTTCCCAAATCAACAAAGCCAACAATTTTGGTTTGCTCCAAGCCTGTACTCTGTTCCCATCACTTTGGACTTGATGTTCTTAAATAAGTTGAGAGAAATATATGTCAGTTCTGCACAACTTGTAAGCACCACGAAGGCAGAATTTGCTGATTATGTGGCAGCTTCTCGAATGAGGGTCTTTAGAACCCAAGTTTGAGATTAATCAAGCATTTTATTAGCTGTCAAACATTAACAGAATAAAAGGCTGTGGTGTGCCCTGTAGCTTGAAAGTAAACTTTGACTAATACAATATTCACAGACTCATCTGTACATATGGAGCATTTTCACTTAAATCCCTCAGCTGGTT